CCTTAACTGTGGCTCAGGTGAAGAAGGTTATGAAACTACACTGGACAGATAATACTTATGACATTAGGATTGAAACAAGCCGTGAAACAAGCCGTGAAACAAGCGCGAAAGACAGTAGTGTAGAGGATGTGTGCTTTCTTTTGTTTTTTGTGGTTGTTTTGTGTTGTAATTTTGTGTAATCATTATTAATACCATGGACCTGTTTATGTGTGGCATTTGTATATTGCCCCATGTGGGTGATAAACTTGCTGTAGTCCATCATAATGTGGTTCCCTCTCGTCCCGGGTGCACTGCTCTGTGACTTAAGACATATTGAAAGTCAGGAGGTTGTTATGACCCTTTTATTTGGTCACTATCCTGCCTTTATTGTTGTGAAAAGCCGACACAAGTCCAAATGACACACTTTTCCACTGTTTTCTTCAACACATGTTAACTCCTTGACTGCCAGTGACATATTTGTCTGTGACCCTCGATTCAACTGGGGATTACAGGACAATAAGAATAGATAAAAACAAACTTAGTTTTGCGGATCAAAGTAGACAATCCAGTCTTTCAGAATCTGGTTTGACATTTCACATAGTCTAAGGAAATAATATTCTGTGAGTCTTGAGAATCAGTGAAATCATCAAAAATGGCTGGTTAAAAAAGTTAAAAAGTTAGTTGAAAAACATGGAGCCGCAGAGTGAAAGCCAAAAGTGTTTCACACCCAAAAAGATCCATAAACTTTTGTACTACTGCAAAATTACTGATCTCCGCACTGAGGCTGATGAACTGCAAAATAGGGGCATATATTTGTGAAGGTCTTTCATTAGTTTTATTGTCATAAAAAATCCAAACACAATTTTAAAAAGCCATATTTCATTACAGTGGTTTAATGAAAATACCCCCACAATTATTGTTTTGATCCCGGGCTCCAGAGCAGGACCTTGTCTCCATCTGGGATCAGTTAGACCGCAACACCAAAGCTCAGATTATCCGGAACTTATTACGACTCCAGTACGGAGGTATCCAGGTTACATTACATTAGCCACGTGCCCTGCACCCTTCCTCCTTCTTCATCATCTTCTGGGGGCCTAGCTCTGACCCCCTGGACCTAAGCCTTTCTAAGTCCCAGTCAGTGAACCGGTCTGGGCTGGCTGTCTACCTCCCCTCCCCTTCTATAATGAGAGGTGCACCATCTGTTGCTCATGTACGCTTCACAAAAACAACACGAAGGAATCAATAAAGGCTAGACACTTGGCACTGTCCCGCGGCCACACTGCTGCTCACAATGCAAAGCTGCACCCGAAAGGCAAGCATCACACTTTGGTAAGAGTGTGCAAAGATGTTATTATTCATTCAGTCATTAATACTCTGGTCATGTGTAAGCAACAGTAAGAGAAAACAAGAAATGAACCGTTTTAATGACCGAAAGGGTTCAGGCTGAAGTGCAGTGAGATCCCCCGACATTATGAACAAAAACAGTCATACACAATCCGATAAATCAGTACCAACATGTACATATATGCACAATATATACACAATATATACACAACAGAATTCACTGGTGTCATGTCATATACCGATCTTGACCATATGGCTTTCAACACACGCCGATAGGAATATTGGTCTGCTGTTTTGCAATAGTTTGACACTTATTTTCTTTCAAAATCAACTCAATCCTCATCAGTCAGTTCCATGATTTAAAAAAAAATCTATTTTATAAGCACCTTCTGGGGCGTTCACACTGGATCATGCGTTGCGTCCAATTTCAGTGCAAAACAGGAGCTAAACCAGGAGCTAAACCAGGAGCTAAACCAGGAGCTAAACCAGGACTGACACAGTGCTTGTGAGCATTTGCCTCCAGCCCGAGTTCTCATTCTCCCATGACTGTAAACAAGTGCTGCTAATATGTTCGCCAATGCGGAAGTACTGGCGCAGCTCCGTGAACACATACTGCTGTTATTGAAAGTCTCTGGACACTAAGACGATGCCGAGATGAAATCATAGAGAAGAACTTCACACTAAAAGCCGCTAGCTTAACCCCGTTAGCATCACCCGCCAGGAATCTTGTTGTAGTTTGAAAATGAAGTGCCTTAAGAGAGTTGAGCATGTTAATGGATGTGTATACAGGTTAGCATGTGATTGAAACACAATTGATAGTTTTGTGATGTCCATAAAACTATTGGCCTACTTCTGAGGTCAAGAAAACAAATCATTCAACCAGCAAGAAAGCGTTTTTTTTTTTGCCTTTTTAAAATAGATCCTTCTCTGTAAGTCAAACAAATACCGGAAATTGTCGTGCACATTTTCAGCCCCTCTTTGTTATTGTTGTATGAATACATTTGCCAATCTGCTGACACACTGCACATCTCATTCTTTTCCCTCTGACTGGTTCCTACAGCAGCTTGATCCTAGTCATGCGATCAGCTTAATACGCTCAGTCATTAATTGGAGCGGGAAAAGTTCTTGCTGCTAAAACCATAAAACAGCCTCTAACTCAAAGAGGCGGCGGTATAAACATTCACACGTGCCACTGTGGCGTGCGTGTCCCGGGACAGTGCCCCTCCCCCCGTCGATGTTAATACCCCAGGGCTATTGTGGCAACCTAATTAAGAACGTCACAGAGAAGATTGACGACACAGTTTTCCCAGAGCAGACAACCCGAACTGCAAAACTGTTTAGAGTGGGTTCTTTGACGAGAGATTTAAAATGAAATCTCAGCAAGAAGGTCCTGGGTTCGAATCCCTGTCGGAACAGTTCAGCATATGTCTGCGTAGGTTTCCTCCGGGTGCTCCGGTTTCCCCTACCACTAAAAACATGCACAATAGGTCTGAATGTAAATGAGGGAGTGAATGGATGGTGTTGGAGCTGATGGTCCAGTGTGTTCTGGACTCGCTTCTGTCATCACCGTTTGTGGAAGGATTGGAACAATATCTGACTCTGAACATTGTAAAGTGCTTTGGGTCTGTACCTTGGTCTGTAAAATGCGGTATATAAATAAACATTACTTACTTACTTACTGTAATAAATGTATAGTCCAACAAAAAAACTTGTTCCAAGAGGTTTTGCTTTACAACGCGGTACGACGTGCCTATATTAGCGAGTTATGTATTTGCCGAGTTTACAATGTCAATGGTACTTTGGGTGAGCAAGGCAGAGGACCACATAACTTAACGACAAACAATAACTTTAAAAAAATCTTTGCACAGAAAAAGACGGGCTCACAGACACTAACAAAACAATATTTCTCAGAAAAGCGTCACTTTTGGTTTACTCAAGTTCATTAAGGCGATGACTCCACGGTACTGAAACATATTTCCATAGAAAACATGAATGAACTCTCGTCACTGAACTTGTCCCGTGTGGTTTGATGAATCACTCGGCCTTGTTCTTGTTGATCAAAACAGATGAATTCAAAGTGTGGCGAAACACCGGGACGTCACAAAGAGAGGGCACTTCTCGCTTTGAGGAATGAAACAGGAAGAAAGACTGCTCGATCAGCCGTTCTCGCTTTTGTTCAATGGAAAACTCACAATCATCAACATTGACTTTCCTCATTTCTTTTCACTCTAAGGCTTGTTTTTTCCTGCAAATGGACACTTCTGCTTTTCACAGGGGTTGGTGACCTTTGATAGGTATTTGCTGTGGTCCTGGTGCTGGTTTGATATGCTCACGTTTGGTAGGTTTCATCATTGATTGACAAAGATGGGGTTGAATGAACGATCGCAGAAGCAGCCAATCGTACGTCTTGCACCGGGACGACCCTCGGGTGTCAAAGTCAACTCTCACTTCTACAAATCAGGTTCAACTTTGGTCATGCCCTTTAGCATTGTTTTCAGGCTTTCAGCACGTTTTTACTTCTCTGGACATCCTGTCACGTTTTGGTGTGAAGAGCACTTTCGCCTACAGGGTCTGAGTTTGCGTTGCCGGGCAGACCACTCCCCCCTGACTTTACGGGACCATCATGCATCAGACAAACGTGCCAATGTGGGACATTCAAGGCTGGTTCTTAGTTCTCCTAAATGTAAAAGACATGTCCTGGTATCCCATAATTTACCTCCCTTGGGTTTTTTCCCGAAGATTACGAGATATTTTATTTGTACTACAGTGGGTTTAATCCTTTCCTTCAAATCACAGAAGTCCAGTTAGATCGTGTGCATTTCTGATGTAGACCCAGAGTCCTGTTTTAGTGATATTATCGTAATTATTTTAGGGGCTTCAACAAGATAATCGATTAATCACAACTAATACATCTTTGAATGTGTTATCAACTAATTCAGTAATTGGTTATTTCACAATATATATTTTTTTAACCATACTTGGGCCAAAACCTGTCAAGAATAGTTTTTTATGGTGATATAAAAACTGTAGAATGACTTGGGATTGTTTTTAAAGCATTTCTAATCAATCCATTATGCGACATCTCGTCTCTATCAAGATGTTTGAGTGGCATCGCTTTGTCTTGGTCTTTTAAATAAAAAATGAATTGAAACTCAACAGATTTATTCAAACAGAATTGGTCTTTTGCCCGATGGCTCCAATGTGTTTGTTATTAATTCTTGTGTTTGAACTGGTTAATTCTCCATGTTGGTGTATTGACAACTTTGCAATGTTCTCCGAGATGACGACTGTTGGGAAATACACATAGAGAGAGTCAGGGCACAACAGTTGCACAGCATGGTTTGGTGAAGACAAAGGCCGTGAATCGCTGCTTGCTGCCTATTTTTTTAGTATTGTTTTATTAAATTAAGGTCAATAATTCAAAGAAAATGTTACTTTTTTCCCGACTGCTTTTTGGTTTTAAAAGGCACACAGTTACATAGTTGTTACATGTTGACAAAGGAAAGTCTTGCAGCTGTGGTGATAATAAAAGTGAACTATGGACATACAACTGTTACATTGTCCACGTTCAGCTTCTTTATCACTTCTGTGTTTCTCTCATTTAGTTACATAAGCTGTTGAAGTTGAAGCAAAGTTAAGTAACTCAGGTTATTACTTTTTTTTACAGGAGATTTTTTTCAGTAGTTGATCCGCGTGAGCAGAGCGGTGGAAAGAGGATCCATGCTTTTAGACGCTCTCACAAAATACTGTTAAACAATGAGAGGAAACAGATCCGCGATTTTGGAAGACGCATCAGTCAGGATGTCAGATAGGCAGCGCCAAGGGATCTTCTCCAAACACACCGCAGAAAAACTCACCAATGCATTCACTAAACATGAACAAAAATAATGGATGCACAATATGTATTTTAACAGAGTTTTTGCGGCCTGTTCTGAATACAGTCGTCAAACACAGCTTTTTCTTTCCTCTGCGCTTGGTAAACAACTTTTTTTCAACCCTAGTCTTAATAGGCACACACATGCTTGCAATTACCCACATCTAAGCAAGAATAAGCCGTTACAGGGGTTTTTTTTTGTGTGGTTCCTGCTGGTAATCCCACATTTGCGACATCTGTAACCGGTGTTCCTGCGAGGCATAACCAAAAGTGACGAGTCAGCAATATTCCGGTTATGTGTCGTTTCTGGACAGCTCTGTATGTGACTAATGATGTTGGGAAATGGACGACTTACTGTACAAACTGCTCACATAATGTACTGTATTCTGAAAACCACAAGGCCTGTGGTTATACGCAGGCATATTCTAATCACACTGTTGTCCACTTTCACAGCAAAATATCACACAAAATACTCCACAACGCTCATTCATGGAAAAATACATGTAAACTGTAGAGTATTTTTAGGTACAGATTCAAATTTTTAACAATATCTGCCATTATCAATCATTATGAAATAGATTTTAAAAGGTTTTGCTGTTCATTGCTGTTTGAGAAGATTGCGTTATTATGAGCTTTAAGGACAATGTAAGAGTTGAGTTCATCACAATGGAAGTGCGAGTTGTCCTTGCATTCCCACACTGATCCAGACCAAACAATCAGACCTTGAACGAGGCACATGTCATTCCAAAATTGACACTTTATCAGTAGCTCCAATGCTATGTTTCCCATGTCAGCAAAAGCAGGCACTGTTGTGTTATGCAAAAACCCTATGCGAAGGCCACATCTGAAGAAGCCATAATAATAATAATAATAAAACAAGTGACTGACCCAATGGCGTGGGCTGCTCTCTGGAGACCTGGCCTGGTACCGTTGCAAGGCCACCCCTCCTTCACCTTCGAGCAGGAGCGGGCAGTCCAGGCCGGGGCAGTGGTGATGTGATTGAGGTCCCATTGACCAGGGCAGCAGGGTGGTGAGTGGATAGTAGTGGGATATCATGCTGCCCACCCGGATCAGTGGCCTGGGTGGCGGACAAGGGCTCCACAGTCCATGGTCCGATCTGGAAAGCAGTGTGGAAGAAGATAAAGCCAAAGCTGTACAATTAAATCCACTTCTTGCTTGTTCTAGAGCTCTATTAAAGTCTATTGTCTCACTCCTTCTCTCTTCTGACCCCACACGCTGAGTTAGGTCCAAAGGGGGTGCGGCCGCTCCTGGACGTCCCACCCACTGCAGCGCTGGTGACTAATGGAAGTTTGAGTGTGGAGGAATGTGTAATGAGAAGCATAGACAGGAAAGCCCAGAAAAGGAAGGATGTTTGGAAAGAGATTCGTAGAAATTAGCCATTCATCTAAATGTTTTTAAAAGAAGCAGGGCATTTCTTGATCAAAGAGTGATTAATTTTACACTTGGAGTTGTTTTTTGTCCATCCACACTGAGATCAGAAAATGTTGCCACAAATTCCCCTTCTACCTACAATGCTGTGATGTAATTGTATTACTTCATCATAGGAGCAGTTCAAATGTTAAGTGTAACTTAAATAAATTAAACTGTGTGTATCTACTACAACGGTTTGACAAGGATGTGAAACTGTTTATTATTATGGAAAAGTACAATTTACATTTAAAATAAATGAGCTGAAAAAGGGCTCATAAAACAACAGAAAATATGTTATTGGCAAATCTTAATTTCAATTCAAATGCACTCAAGTCAAAATACTGTATTTTCTCTTTATTTCCTTAATAAGTGGACTTTGTATATATATATATTTATAAAATAAATAACTATAAGAAATTGTACTTTTTGATTTAATAATTGCAACTCCTAAAACAAGTTTGATTTAACTGTGGTTGAACTTTTACCACTCAATTGAATAAGATGTTTATTTCAGAACAAGTACAACACAAATGCATTGAACATAATAATATGCAATCATAGCATGATTCACTCCTTCAACACACGTCTGAACATGTAAGCATGGTTTTTACTGTTTCATTAAAACATGCAACATCCAGAAAGTTACAAAATGCTTCATGACGGTTTAATCAGTGCTAAAAGTCTTTGTGGACATTTTCCAGACATTTCCACACAACACATTGGACCTGGTTTATCCAAAGGTCCTCCTCCTACATGAACACATCCTGCCTTTGACCTCATACAGTAGGTAATCCACATTCTCCATATTTAGTCATATTCCGGTCAATATTAAATCCATAATCTTAAAAACGTGACCAGCTCCATTGAACTAAATGGATTAAGGACAGTGCACAATGTGTGGCTTCATGCGACCCATGGCCTGGTTTGTCACAGGGTTAAATGTCATACAATGTGCAGCATCTGAGTGAGATGTTTGTGTTGTGTATGAGCGGCCGCAGAGGCAGTCATGTGGAAAGAGCCGTGTGAGGATTAGGTGGGACCGGCTGGCTGGGTTTTTGTTTTTGCAGACATGATTAAAGCTGGGGTACCCAACTATTAAACCACAAAAAATCAAAACTATGATAAATCTTTTTCACTAGTTTCTCACTCTCAAAGCAATTTGGTTTTATTACTAGTTTTATGCATGTATGTTTGGCCCCTATTGTACCTTGTAGGAAGCAATAGCGTAATGGCTGTTATCAGATTAAACACACATTTACTCGAATAATCAAAATATGAATTAAAAAAGGTGGCCAAAAGAACTAAACTCAAATAAAAATGCTTCATATGTCTCAAGACAGTTTTAAGATAAGAAAAGATAAACTTTATAGATCTCACAATGGATGTCACATTTGGCGTAGATAGAATCCTCAAGGTGTGCAAACATGTTAGTGGCTATAACAGTACAGCAGTTCTTTTCAGTCCCAGTCCAGGTCACTAAAGTGACTTGTTGTACAGTCTGACAGCGGTGGGGATAAAGGCCCTGCTCCTTCTTACACTGAGGGGGCCTCAGTCTTCCACTGAAGGAGCTCCTCAGCTCCTCCTCAGTCCTGTGCAGGAGGTGTTGTCCATGATGGAGGTGACTTTGACCTGCACCTCCTGTTCCTCACCTCCTCCACAGAGTCCAGGGGCCTCCTGTCCCTCACCTCCTCCACAGAGGAGGTGAGAGGACAGTGCCCTGAGGGGCCCCAGTACTGCAGACTACCACCTCAGACTCACAGCTGCAGCCGCACGTACTGTGGTCGGTCTGAGAGGTAGTCGATGTTTGTCATGTCATATTTTTGAAATCAGCTCTTTCAAGGCCACAGCTGTATTCAGAAATTATGAAATCATGCAAAGTTGTCAAAAAGGCTTCCGTTGTTCAGAGATGAAGAACATGTGAATCATCAGCCACAACAAAAATACAAGCATCCGGAACACGTTGCTTCACGACACTGACCACGTTTATGATTTACAAGGAAGGGATTGCAGAGATTTATGCAACAATATTTTACTTTTTCCACTTTTTTCCAATTATTTTTAATCCATCAAGTTTTAGTCACTATAGGACACTTGTTCATGGTCAGCCTGGTGATTGAGTGCGGCATGGAAGCTGTTTAACACCAGTTAAAAGTCTGTTACAAAACAACATCCTGCGGCTTAAGTGTCGTCTAAATGTGGACAACATGGATTTATGAGGTGCGGTTTTAAAACAGGTGCCTTTTTGTCCTGTGAACACTTTTCACAAATCACAGTGATGGTATGAGTTAAAATCATTTTCTAAAAGCAAATAATGAAAATCAAACAATTGAAAAAAAAGGCTCAAAACAGACAACCAAGTTAACAGGAATTAAGTAAATGCATGTTCAGAATCAGAATCAGAATCAGAATAATTGTTATTGCCGTGTAAGTAACAGAAAGTCACAGACCAGGACAGGCACTGTATATTGCTTCACCCAAATTGCCTAGAATGAGTCTGGTGTGTGTGAATGGTTGGTGTTCGAAGAGGCTGATTGCATGAACTGGTTACCTTGCTTCTGTCTGCCCCTAGGGCAGCTGTGGCTACAGCTATAGCTTATCCCCACTGTGTATGTAGTGAAAGCAGAGATGTGAAGGGTCTTTGAGTGTCCAGGGCGTAGGTCTGCATCTGTGAGCTGTTCTAGTTCAGACTGAACTAGTCTGAGTTTGATCCATCCCAATTCACTTAAATTAACCAGGATAGTTGATATAATTTTAGTTGTGGGACAGTGACTGAAGAAAATCCACACTGACACAAGAACCCAGAACCTTCTTGCTGAGAGGCCACTCTGCCACGAATGCCATGAATCATGATATAGCTTTACAACTTCTTGAAGCTTTCAAACTTTTTTTTGCAGTAACTGCCTACTGCACTATCTCAGTGCTATTTCCATCCTGGCTGAAAATGATCCCAGTTGTAATGGTAATGAAGATTACAGTAACATGTTTAAAGCAGCAGTTTTCAGAACACCGTCGCCTCCTCGACTTCTTCCATTGCTTTCATCTGACTCAGCGTGACAGAATTCCTCTCTTAACAAGGCAAATGCCATCTACTCCACCTAAACTCTTATAAATAGCATTGAGTCACGCTCTGAGTCGGGCTCAGAGAAAAGAATTTTGAACATTAAAATACTCCTGTAATCAAAGTAGATAATTCAAGTGTAGAGCAAGCAGCGGTCACTTCGGCCCGCTGTCATGAATGTGGTGGAGTCAACTTGGCATCACTGACTCAAATACTTTCATATAATTGTACAAGCTGAGAGGTTTTGGTCAGTCATGGATGTTCACGATAGCTCACAATAAAATCTCCTTTGGGATCAATAAAGTATATATCTATCTATCTATCTATCTATCTATCTATCTATCTATCTATCTATCTATCTATCTATCTATCTATCTATCTATATCTATCTATCTATCTATCTATCTATCTATCTATCTATTATCCTACATTTCCTGTAAAATCTTGCATATTTGAATAATCCTGTATCGACCTCAAATGCAGACCTCGATGGCACAGACTGGTTGCCTCGCTTCTGTCAGTGTGCCCCAGGGCAGCTGGAGTATGGAGTGAAAGAATAATGTCATGTGAGTGTCCAAAAAAGTGCCATATCAATCAATCCTTTATTGTCTCACAGATGGAGAAATTCATATAAAACTGATGCATTATTATTGTTATGGTTCATAAAGTAAAAGCAGCTCAACAAGAACCTTTAGAGAACCTTAAAACTTATCTTGAAAACTGGAGCATTGTGGTCTCGTCCCGTGGGCTTAGTTGGGAGGAGTTTTTTAATAATTATAAGCTAGTGTGTCAAAGAGTGTGTCATTTATTCCTGCAAATTTCTCTATATCTCTCAATTGTATTTACTTTCTCTGTGCATTTATACTGTAGATGATGTGACTCCATACATACGAGACTGATTCACTTTCTATTTTTCCCCATTGAAACATGCGCATGGCAATATTTATAACGTGTATCTCTCTGGAAAACTGCATCTCTTCATAAGCTCAGAATGTTATTGTTTTTAATACCTGTAAAACTAGTAATTACCTGTATAAAATTGTGTAAAGCAGATTCTGTTAGGCCTCTGAAGCTAAGCAGGGAAAGACCTGGTCAGTGATCACCAGAGATGCCACAGTGGGGTAAGCTGTCATTGTGCTCACATTTGCTTGACAGAGTCTGGTGTGTGTGTGAAGGGTTGTTTGTAGTGGGGGCTGACAGCACGACTGGTTTCTTTGCTTCTGTCAGTCTTCCCCAGGGCAGCTGTGGCTACAATAGTAACCACTTGAAGTTGTGGTGATATACTCTACCTCCAGATTGTCTCACATTTTCTGTTCTAAGAGATTTTAAAGAAGTTGAATGCAGATCTTTTCAGTACAAAGCTCCATCAGACTGGAACAAACTCCCCACATCCGTACGCTCCATTATGTCTTTTGGTTTATATAAGTAGGAATTATTTAGGTTCCTGTTCCATGTTTATTGTTAATAGTTTTACTTTGTCACTTCTAAATGTTTAATTTTAGCAGAGGAGAGGAGTGTGGTGTTTATTTTGTATTATTATTATTATCATTTATTATTATTATTATTTTATTATTATTATTATTTTATTATTATTATTATTATTATTATTTTATTTTTAATTATTATTATTATTATTATCACTATTATTATTATTATTATTATTATTTTGGTGTGTGTTTATGTAATCCCCTTTTCTTATTCTGAATGCTCTGTAAATTGTTTTGTATGTATTCATGTGTGTATGTTTATGTTTAGGACCCCCTCGAAAATGAGATGATTCATCTCAAGGGGCTTTCCTTAATAAACTTATGTTGTCTTCAAATTAAAGGTATATAGGAGGATTTCCCAACATT